GACAGTGTGAGTCGCCACCGTGGCGACTCCTTCCCGCTGGCCAATTCTCTGAGTCCACGACCATCTGATTACTCCCATTCTCAGTCTCAGGAATCCTCTCGCCCTTCTCGACGCCCCCAGCCAAACGAGTTTACGTCAGATGCACCAATCGCGCCATTTACAAACCAACCTCATTCAATGTCTTATGACGATCGACATTATCGACCTGGAGCAGGAATCGAAGGTTCAAATGAAGTTCCTGTTGATGAGAGGCATCGTCGATATCGTGACGATGTGGATCCCCTCTTCAACCCGCGACCTGCGCAAACATATGTGGCCCCAACTGATACCTCGTTGCACGTCCGTAAACGAGTGAGATCTTTATCACCTCAGCCTATGAACTCGCAAGCCATCTCTGGCAGCCGTAAATCTAGGTCTTCTCGTGCTCAGCGTGCTTCACGTAGGCGCGATTCTAGTACTGACGCAGACCCCTCAAAGTATCGAGACCTTGATTCTTTAGCAAGCCCACTTCCATCCAATGATAGCTGGGGTGTAAGCAATATTTACGACGACCCTCATCATTCACAGCATTATGGGATGTCGTACGACACTTCCCCTATATCTGACGGTCGACTACCTGCTCTAGCCAGGAATGGGAGCGTCCGAGCCCATCGTGAACGAGAACAAACCGTGCACGAGAAGACAAGTGTCCAAATCATCCCCGATTCTAGTACGTTGTCTGCCTCATCTTCCCCCCTTGACCTGCCATTGGACACTGCCACGGTGACGTCAGTCCTCTTCGGGCAGCGAGGTGTTGTTTCTGCCTGGGCTCAACGCTGTTTTGAGGCAGCGCACCGTGTGCTGTTGCTCCTGGTATTTCCCATTCCATCTTCTCGGCCTATCTCCTCTATCGACTCAAGGACGCTCATCATGGACCTTTTTTTTTCTTCCTCCCCTTCTCATCCCAATTGTTGCATGTTGTATCAAAACCATGTCTTTCCCTTCCCTTTGAAATTATCTAGGAACTAGAGTTTCACCTGTCGACCACCGAGACCTCCACCGACTCCACGCTGACGAAATGCAAGACCGCTCCCACCAACCGCCTTCTTCACGTGGAGAAGCCTATCAGATTGTTCCCAACCCACACGCATCGGCTCAACTGCCGCCTCGTCCACAACCACAACGACGACGCGACCGGCCGACACGATTTGGGCAGGAACGAACCTCGCCTGTTCTGCAAACGAACCAAATTCCTTCACAGGTCCAGGCGCAACCTCAGCGAGCCGTGGAAAATGATGATCCTTTTGTGCCTGATGACATTGTGGACCCGCCACTCGATGTTCTCAAAAGGCGTGAAGTCCTTGAGAAGTTTTCGAAGTTCCAGGCCTCGGCTCAAGCTTCGAAGGATGACATTCCTTTAGCAACGAATCGCCAAATGCGACACTCGCAGGATACGGAGGAACAAGACGTCCAAGCAAATGCGCAGGCTCAAGACCGAAACTCAACCTCTGCTGCACAACTTCCACGTAGGTACTATCCCAAAGTTCTTTCCACTACTTGACTGGCCTTTCGTATCCCCTTCCTCTGTTTCTTCGATTCATTTGTCTCCTCCCGTGTTGGACACGTGTTGATCATCTATAGGTCGAGCCAGGTCACCGTTACCTCCACAGTCCGCCGAATTCCAAGAAGTAAGAAGTCGACCCCGCGATCGTGCCAACCGCCCACGAGAGCGTGCTGCCTCATTCAATCGACCCAGTGATCAAGATCGGAGGTCGTTCAATCCTTCAGCAATCGCTCATTCAACTCCTGGCAACCATCTTAACGAAGACGAATATGACTCCCACCTTCCTACTACGTATCATGAGGACAAGAACGGACAATATAACATTGAAATGAGACGACATGAAAATCTCGATCTCGAGGGGCGCGAAGACCATACACGCGCCATACCTCCCCCTGCTAGTCGACGGATGGGTGACGCTGCAAGCACATCACATGTTCAAAGACCATCTCATGCGGTGCCTTCAGACGCGAATGTATCTTTGATGCAAGCTACTTCACCAATGGTAATTACTCCAGGACCAGGGTCTGCGCCTAATGGAAGGAGGCTGGATCGATCGCCGCCACCGCACATAGCACGACGTGGAAGGGAAAACGCTGGACGGCGAGAGGATCGTGGTGGTCCCATGTCAGAGAAAGGCCCACATGTGAGTGAATCTGGTTTCAAATGTATCCATCCATCACTCACTTTCAACGAAGGGGCGACGAGGAGGTCGAAACGTCAATCAACGTTCTTCTGCATCTGGTCCAAACAGCGTACCTATTGGTCAAAGAAAAATGCTTGGCAATGGGGCGCCAGGATTTTCTACTTCCGAGGCAACCAAGCGAGAGTATGATCAAGTAAGCAAGCTTTCTTACTTGGACTGTAGGGGAGTCTTAAAATGTGGCTTGTCTAGGGATACATCAGTGACCAACCCGATCATGCGCCCTTTGCACATCGAAGAGACGATGGTCTTCCAGTAAGTTTAAGCTATTTACTATCCCAAGCAAGGCTCATTATTCTGTAGGTTTCTGCACGTGGCAGTTCAAGCCAACACTCTTTCTCTCCAATTCAACAACCATATCCACAACTCTATCTCTCACATCCTCCAACGCCTCGCTTTCCTCAAACACTCTATGTCCCAAGGCTCTTCTTAATCGACTAACATCGTTATTGGTATCCTTGAGCACCCTACCAGGACTTGGAGGAGGGCTTATCAACGTTGATGAACCGTCAGTGTTGCCTTTGCTTGTTGGGGTGAGGAATAGTCGACGATAGAGTATTAGAGCATCGGAGAGGGATTCTAGACTGTTTGGATCTGAATCTGAATCTGAATCCGAGTCCAATTCTGTGTCTTCTGCAGAGTCGTTGGATCGTGGAGAAGAAACGACGAATTCCCCCATAGGAACTTTCCATAATCTTTCCAATCTCCTTCCAAGCTCGGCGATGAAACCACCCATTTCCTTCGCTGCTTCAATGGTACGTCTCATCTCGACGATTTCCTTTTCCTTCTCTTCACTGCCATCCACGTTTTCTTCCTCGGACCCGCGCACGCTTCCTACAAAAAGAGTCCTGAGATGCGAACAGATACGGTCTTGGATGAGGGATGTTGCGAGGATATGGATTGGTGTTGGGTCAATGTGAGCTTGGAGCTGAGCTGCCGCCAATCGCGCAGAGGCTTCGTCTATTGTAATTTCCTCCAAAACCAGACGTTCGTAAAGGGTCGACCCAGTCTTATTCGAATTTGATCGCCAGGCGGAGCGGGCCTTGTATCGGATGAGAGAGCCAAGGAGGGGAAGGGTATTCTGAGCGCAAGAGTTGTATAGCGTTAAAGCGGCTGTGCAAAGGTCTGCCGCTGAAGGGCTGCGGGAGTAAGAGGAGATGTGGTGGTAGATTTGGAATGGAGTAAAGAAGGAAGTTTGGGAAGTAGCTAGAGAGATGGTTAGTTGAGATGTAAGAATGATAGTATAGATGGTTTACCTTTGCCCAAGACGTAAGATTCGCCTAGACGTACCCAATCCTTTTTAGTATCGCTGTCCTTGGATCTTAAGGACGATAGGCTAAATCTGATCCCAGTCCAATTTGATAGGAATGTAAGGAGTATCATCTTCATCCGCTTACAACCTCACAGACTTTAGTCTCTTCGGAGGCGCCGATTCTCTCACTGAAGGAAAACCCTCACCAAGACGCACTTTTCCTGCAAACCAAAACTATCATGACGCCAGCACGTATCCAAAGCCCCCACAGGACCCTTCAGATTTTCTATGGCTCATGACAGAGGAACCACATAGAACTAGACGTATGGCTATCATGAAAGCTCATCCAGAGGTACTTGCTTTGCCATCTAACCCAACCACTCACTCACGTTTAAACCCAATCAGGTCACAAAATTAATGGGCTACGAACCTCTCACAAAATACATCGTTCTCTTTGTCGTCCTTCTTCAAATATCCACCGCAATATACCTCCGTCATACCCACCCTCTCTCTCCAATATTCATCTTCATCGCGTATGTCATAGGCGGTACAGCGAACCACAATCTCTTCCTCGCCATACACGAAATAACTCATAACCTCGCTTTCCCTGGTGTCGCTCCAAACCGCCTCTTGGCAATCTTTGCCAATTTACCCATTGGAATCCCATACTCCGCTGCATTCAAAGGTTACCATATCGAACATCATAAATTCATGGGTCAGGATGGTGTAGATACTGATCTCCCAACCCGTTTTGAACTTTTATGCCTCAACAACGTCTTGGGAAAGGTCTTTTTTGCGTACGTGTCCCTCGCTCTACGAAAAAAACTCGACTTGACTATTGAATCCAGGACTTTCCAAATATTATTCTACGCCCTCCGTCCCGGTTTCGTTCGTGCTCAACGTCTAACAAAATGGCATTTCCTCAATATTCTAGTCGAACTCGTATTCGACTATATATTGGTCAAAACATTTGGCGTCTATTCCTTATTCTACCTCTTGTTTAGTAGCTTCTTTGCCGGAAGTTTACATCCCTGTGCTGGTCATTTCATCGCAGAACATTATCTGTGGGATGGTATGGATCAAGAGACGTTTAGTTATTATGGCAAATTGAATTTATTGGCGTATAATGTACGTCTTCTTCGTCTTCCTCTTCTTATCTCAACAAACCCACTTAGGTCGGATACCACAACGAACATCACGATTTTCCTTCCGTTCCTTGGACCCGTCTACCAGCTCTGAGAAAACTCGCACCAGAGTTTTATGACAATATCCCTTCCCATCCCTCTTGGCCGATGGTCATCGTTAACTTTATTCGAGATAAAGAGGTCGGTTTATTTGCCAGAGCAAAGAGAATGGCAAAGAATGGGGGGAAAGTTAGGGAGGAGGGAAAATGTGATTAGATACCATTTTTATTTGCGTTGACAAACTCGGAATATCAGAGAACGGTGTGGACGGACACCTTTGTGTTACACACCTAGGGAACAAAACAATTTGGGTGTGCACTATGCATTGACCGGGAGTCGAACCCGGATCCAAGCCAAACCTAGGTGGGAAGACTCGATGATAACCGTTACACTATCAATGCTATCGTTCCTGAGAATCCTGGCAGATTGCCATGTCGATGAAGTTCTGACAGGTTGTTGGAGGTTGTTGATGGTGATTGATGGAGAGTTGTTGACAGATGTTTGTATTCCAATCTCGATCGCGTTGGACGCGTCGTTACACGTGACCATCATGACTTGTCCTGTACTGAGTACTCACACCTTTGATGAACTCTAGATCTGCCAATGTGCCAAAATGCTGGCATCTGTATCGGCCAAAACGACCTCGCGTACGAACAATCATCATCCTCTTCCGTAACTGTAGACTGAACGCGTGGACTTCATTGCCGACTTGCTCGTATCCATAGATGACTCCAATGCGCGTGGTACTCTCCTTCTACTCCTGACAATCATCATTCACTGGCAACCTGGCCGGCTCCGAGTGGATCTCCCCTCCAATACATCTTAATTATGATGATTTTGCCTGGATATGTATGGGATGCTACTCTAATTACAGTAACTCGGTCCTCGGAACTGCCAAGTTCCCGTAAAAGGTGTACGGTTCTCACCTCAAGACCTTGCCGTTGTCTAGATATGCCGTTTCTGGCGCCTCTTTCGTAAACAACTGCTCAGTCTTTAACCACCACCACCACTCATCTCATCCACGCCGCAATGCCATACCTACACCTAGATACACCTACTGGGCCTATCAATATCCATTATTCAATCTCCACACCCACCGATCCTTCGAGCTCGTCGATAGAACAACACTTGGAGTGTATACTTTTTCTCCATTCTGGATACGGCGGTCATGAATCTTTTGAATGTCAGTATACTCTTTCTCCTCGCCCAATGAATGCTGATATCTATTTACAAACAGCCCAGTTCTGCGATTCAAGACTGAGAGACCGATTCAATCTCATAGGCCTTGATATGCGAGGATACGGATTCACTACAGGTCATATCATGCAAGAGGAGTATAGCCCAGCTGACTCCGCGGACGACGTGTATAGATTCCTTGTGAGTAAGCTCGCCAAACTCCGCTCATCCTTTCATTTCAAACTTCATTTCGCCTCCTGCCGTGACGAGCACAATTCTTATGCTTATTGTCTTTCATCCTTTTTGTTATAGAAAGCCCTTAATCTCCCCCCGGTGCACATATTTGGTTTAGCTATAGGGTGCTGTGTGGCCGTTGATCTTGCGGCAGCACATCCAGAACTTGTGAGATCACTCACACTGTGTTCGCCATTACCCCCAACAGAGGTGTGTGTGTTTTATTGTCTATTCACCGGTTCTCGGTGCTTTTACAATCGTCACTGATTGACGCCGCTATTTATATTTAAATTACACAGCTAGAAGATGTTGCCTCTGGTCGATTAGAGGTCTTTAATCTTTGGGTTCACGCCTTCAATCATGATGGTCCGAATCGTAATGGTGGACCTCCTGCTGGTGATCGAGCAACCTTGGACGATCTGACGCTTGGGATACAACAACTTTGTTTTAATAACGAGAGAAACAGCTTGACTGATGCGTATGTGGCTCGTTTCTTTTATTTTGGAGGTGCGATGTTTGACTGGAGAGATGTACAGACTGTCGAAACAATCGCTGGCGACAGCAGCAAAAACCCGTGCTGGCTCGCCGCAGGGATTGAAGGACTCGTATCATGCTACTGTAGGGTGGTTCTTGACGCGTAAACCGCCACGTCGTGAAGCGCTTGCACGAGTCAGTCATTTTGTGCTCGGTTTTCTTCGTCTTTTAACTTATGGATTTCTTGCTTATCAGATACAGTGTTCTGTCCGACTAATCCATTGTGAGGAAGATGTGGCATATCCGATACAATACTCTGAAGAGCTAGAAGAACGGTTTCGAGCTGCTGGAGTGACCGACGTCGAGTTGTATGAAGTTCCTGGCCCACATTATGGAAATATCGTAAATCCGCAAGCGTGAGTATCTTTTCTGTCTGTCCAGACGAGGTTATTTCAATGGTTTTTCGTCTAGGATAAACCCACTCCTTCTCGAACATGTCCTTCACGCGTCTCAAAATGCCAATGACATTCTGAAGAATGGCGACCGTCAACACCATGCGAGTGGGCAATCGAAAAAGTTGGAAACCCCTTTTACTGCCAGGCTTGTGGAACATGGATACAACCCAAATGAGGCTGAAGACGAGTATGACCATTGTTGAGTAGCATGCGAAGATTATGTTGACGTGAGATCTACTACTATTATATCCATTGCTGTTATGTCCAAAGACAGTATGTATGTTTACCATACTCGAAGCCTCTGCTCGTGCCATGCTTGTCGATATGTAATACCTGCCAGTGTACTGTCGCGAAGCAATATAATTCGACTTCTAGGCTCCTCCAATTTCACGGTTCCACCTTGGTGCTTCTGATCTTCTGAGATGCCATGATGGATTGTGGAAACGTGATTATGGCGCACACCTCGGAGGTAAAATAAGACCGCTGTCGACGTCTTGTAATTCAAAAGATCAAGTGATGATCAATGCCAGTGAGCGAAGTTGTTGGAATGGCGACGTCACTCTCTTTCCGCGAGCTAATGAGAACTTGTTGGCCAAAAAGAACATTGATGCAGAGAGACTTGTAAAGTACCTGTTCCAACTTTGAGGGGTGCCAGTGAACATTCACATAGTCCAAATCCTCTCGAGGCATCCACCATTCGAGGAAGAGAAAAAAGAGACAGTCAACAATCAGAATTATGGTGTATATCGGTCCAGCGAAAGGTCCGAGCTCCATCGTGCTTTTGAAGGGTCAGAGCAGGTAGATGTAAAGCAATACCTCCTCATACCGTTGCATTCGTTGCCACAAATCTATCTGCGGAGACTTGATAACCGCATCATAAACCTTTTCAGTTCGCATTGCGACATCGTCCCAATTATAAAATGCCTTGATGCGTTCATGTGCCTTTTGTGGGTCGTGCTTTCCTAGAGAGACAAGATGAATGGCTTCGGACATTGCACGAAAGACATCTGCAATGGGCAAAAAAGATGATTAATCATCAGGACTGAGAGGTAACATGGAAGTCGGACCATCTTCTTCAGGCTCGGCGAAGCTAATCATGTCTTTTGGAAGGATTTCGGGCACGCCCCCGACGCGGGTGGAGACGACATATAGGCCAGCGCACGCCGCTTCGAGTATGGCGATTCCAAAAGATTCTGTTAACGACGTGTTCATGAAGATTGCTCCCCGGTGTAAAACCTGGGTAAAGGGTGTTAGAATGATGTATGTAAGCCGTTGAAAGGGCTTACAGAGCGGACATCGCTGTGTCGTGCAGGTCCAAGAAGTTCGATACGATCTTGTAGGAGATGCTTCTCACGCATTTGTAGGATATCTATGAGTTTAGGACCATCACCACCTGCATCATTCGTTAGTTGGATTCCCTTTCCGTTGAACTTTTTTTTTTCTTTACCGACGACGAAACGGACGTTAGGAAATGCAGCACATATTCTGGGTGCTGTGGCGACGAAAAGGTCAATGCCTTTCCGATATGCAAGTCTGGATAAAACGACAATAGTGACTAGGTTTTGTGACTTAGAAGGGGTGCAACTGGCTGAGTTTGTAGATCTTACTTGTTTCTGTAGACTTGGGCGGTCCTGGTTTGAATTCATCTACGATAAGTGCATTGGGGATAACGTAGACATTGTCTCGCACGGTGAGTTTGGTTGAATCTTGAGGATTCCGCTCGAAAAGTTCACCACGTAAAACAGTGTTCTCGCGCCTTACACAATAACGGTGAGCAGACTGTTTGTCGCGTTCAGAAATTGAGGTTTACCCTGTGTGAGATACGCAAATTACTGCATCGACGTTCTTGAGGGTTCCAACCAGGAGTTTGTTGGTCAGAATGCTTGCCGCATCCGCAAACCCAAACAAACTGTGGTCGGTGAAGACGGTACGTATTCCCATTAGATGAGAATGTAGGATTCCTTCGTGTCCAATAGACGAAAGGCTGGCATGTGCGTGGATTAAATGAATGTGCTCTCTAAGGAGAATGGTTCGAAGGTATGGGAGTGAGGTAAAGAAGTTTGGAAGAGTTGCTGATGAGGCTATAGGGAGAAATGGAAGGTAGTAGACTTTCAGAGAAGGTAGGAGCCAACGAATACCGACACGGTCGCCGTGACTGTGAGTGATGACAATGACCTTGTGAATGTCGGATGAGCAAGCAATACTGTCGTTTAAAGACGTACTTTATGACCTCTTTGCATGAGTTTCGCGCTGAGCATATAAATATGGTTCTCTACACCGCCGACAGCAGGATGAAAGAAATCAGAAATCATTCTAGGATAGGCATGAGCTGAAGTATGCAAATTCTGACCGAAATTTCGTACGCAATGGATATGGGAGCCATATTCTGTATTGGCGGTCCGTTGATCCGGGAAACTGCTACAATCAACCTTCAAGCTTCTGCTACGGCAGATGTGGTGAACAACAACCGTTTATCGCCTAATGGCTTCACAAGTCCAGAAGAAAAACATAATAGTGCTCGGTGCTGGCAAGTCTTTGTTTACCTACCCACTCTCGATGCAATTGACCAGTCGACAGGAGTGATTGGTTTGACTAGTGCAGTCAAAATACAAGAAAGTGGCAAATATAATGTGTCACTCCTAGCTGATGTACTGCCCACGGACCAAAAGAACACTAGATATACTAGTCACTGGGCTGTAAGTCGAGCTAAAATTCCCCCTTCCTACATCATTTTCAATGTCCCTCATTAGGGTGCGCATCATGTCCTCAGTGCAACAGAGGATCCTCGCCAACAAAGTGAGATCGTTCATTAGGAAATCTCTGGTATATTGACGGGAGAATAGAGATGGATTTGGAGACCTTCAAGGTCATGTGGGAGCTCTCTACACCAGGGACAGACACAGCTCAATACTTCATGCGTCTGTTGCAAACAGAATACTACTCAGACCCCAAACTACTACCCCCTCTAGATTGCATGCCGGATGTAAGTTTTATTCCATTCTTGGTATCGTTATCTGACATGATAGTTACCGCCAGTATGTCTTCCACGATTCAGCGACGCT